TGCTGAGGGTTCTGATAAGCTTTGAATTCCCCATGCTCCCACCTTATACAGGGACCTAGCCAGCAGAGGCCCTGCCAGGCTGTTTTGAATGATGTCAGATATTCTGCATTCTAGCTTCAGCCCTGTAGCCAGTAAAGGGAATGACGTGGGTATGCATGCACATGTGCACACAGGTACACAAGTGTACACACATGCACACACACACCAAGCCTCCATACTCTAATTTACAAAGAGTTTTTATCCAGTCATGCACTGAACAAGATTCACCTGTGTGTGAAAGCCACTTCCCTAATGGGCTGAAGTGGTAGGCACTGTAGTGCCTCTTGGTGGAGGAGGCCAGACAGCTCTGGGCCAGGCAGCATGGGACTCCGGGAGTGGCACACACACAGTGTGGGCACCAAGAAGGAAGGAGAGCAGATGGAAAGAATCTTGCAGCTAGATCTGACATTGATGTCAACAACTGGAGGTGAAACACTCCTGTTGGGCCACCTCAGCTGAGGCAGAGGTTCCAAGCAAAGAAGCCCCTTTAGTGAAGATATCTGGAGGGAGGGGGAAAAAATTCACATTTGGAGGTTTGACTCACTTCTATCCCTACCTGGAAAGCAGGACTCATCACTCTGATTTTGCCTGTGATGAAACAGGGCTCAGGGGTGCTTCAGGGGTTCAAGGCCAAGGTGAAGTGGGATGTCAAACCCACATCTGTTTTCCAAAGAGGCAATGAGCTGAAGCTTGCAGAGCTGCCAGACTGAGGTGGGGTGGAGGGGTTTAGTTTAGATGGACAGTACTAAACGCCTCCACCCCTAACTTTTAATTTTTTCCCCAGTGGGGACAGGGACCTAAAATGGTTTCTCCTTCAAGCAAGCACAGGGCTGACTCTCTGGGGAAGACTGAAAGTTTGGGACAGGTTAGATTTCAAGATTGTCTACACCCTGCTCCTGGAGGAGTCTGGCTTTCCAGAAAGACACCCCTATTGCCTTTAATTTTAAAATCCTTTCTCCCCTTTCCACTCCCTCCACACGCGAGCTCTCCTCAGACCCGGACAGCTGATCCTGGCACACAGCCCATCAGCCTCAGCAGCTCCAGAAGGCAGCCCCAAGCAGCCTGATCACACTGCCACTGATGTTCTTGTCCACCAGGGGCCGCTGTTGCACAGCACATGCAGTCCACCAAACCCCCGAGGCTGGAGCCTGCTCTTGCAAACTGACTTGCTCTTAGGCACCAAGACTGCCTGGCAGTTCCATCCCATTACCGCTTAGACCTGTTACATAGGGTGCAGTGCCTAGCCATCTGGGCCTTGCTTCAGTCTGAACAGTACTAAAGCTCATGATCTCAGGGGTGCTTGTGAAGAGAGGAGAGGGGAGGCAGGGCAGTGTGCCTGACACTGTTCCTAACTCACATTCTGGCCTCCTTAAACCCCTCCACCCCTAACTTTAAGGCAAATGCACCGAGGACTTGGCATGTGGGGACTCCTCCCCTTGCAAAGCTGGGGAAGGTGATAGGTCTGGTCTCCACTCCTCTCTGCCTGCCAGCCTGAGTGGTGACACAGACAGCTGACCTGGGATCCTGGGACGCTCTGCACAAGCCTGGCCTATTCCAAGAGCAGTAGAAGGCCAGTCGAGGTAGGCATGAGGGCTGAAGGCAGCTTGTAAGCCTAGGTAGGTTGAACCCCAAAGAGTTGTGAAGAAGCATGTAGGACCTCTGTCGAAAGCAGCCTGTCTCCCTCTCTAGGAGCTACTCCTAGAAGAAAAAGGACTGGCTGCAAGTCAGATCAAACTAAGACTCCTTACCCAGCATTCATGGCCCAGCTCTCCCCCACTCAGCCTCACTTTAGTATTAGAGCTCATTCTAACAAGATAAAGTCTCTGCCTTGCACTGGGGTCTGCAGGCCTTGGTCAATGACCCCTTTTGGCTAAGAGGAGGACACCTATAAATGGAAGCAAAAAAGTAAGTTCTCAACCCAGACTCTTGCCTCCTGGTGCCTAACTTTTCTAGCCTCAACTTGCTCTTCTATAAAGTGGGGTGGAGGTGATTTTTCTTACAGATTGACTGTGAGAATCCAACAGGCAAAGGATGGGAAAACTAAAGTTTGGTGCAAAAAAAATGAACTATTTCTTTCCATCTGCAGCTATAGGGGGAGCAGACAATGCAGAGAGACTGTTTTAAAGAGCAGCCTGAGCTGCAGGGCCTCCCAACCCCCTCCATCCTGTTAGAATGTCTGGTTTTCTGTCTCCAAGTCCAGATCTTTCTGTCTAGTGTCTCATCCAGCCCAGAGAGTCTGGGATGAGGAAGCTGCACAAAGACAGACAGTAATTTTTCCAGCCCTCACTCAACCCTGGGGATTTTCCTGGATTTGAAATTGAGCCTTCCTCCCCTCCCCTGCTCATCTTTTATTTCTCTATCGATTTTCATTAAACTCTCCCCTTGGCTCCAGAACAGGGTGAACTAATTCCTTATTTGAAAAAATAAATAAAACAAAGGGAAGGGATGCTCTTCTGAAAGTGAGATTGTCTCTGGTCTAAGACTGGAAGAAGAAATTACCAGAACTGTCCCAGGCAGGCTGCTCTTTAAAGACCTGGCCAATTCTCTAGCTGTGGAGTCCCTCTTCTTTAAGGGGTGGGGGACACTTCAAGCCAAGTGTCCTACCCTCATATACCCAGTCTTCACCTGGATTGCAGTTCCCAGTCCATGTCTGGTCCCCAGTTCCCTCCAGTCCCAGGGCCCTGATCTTCCCTTTAACCACAGCTGGACCTCTACCAAGGTTACTGCAAAATCCCCAGCATTCAGGCTGTTTGGGGGGGCAATGTAGAGTTTTCCCCAGACCACCTTGAAAAGGCCAGGGAGAAGGAAAGGAAAGCAGACACAGGCAGAGTGTTTCCCCCATCTAGGCACCAGCCTGGAAACCCACTATATTGTCACTCTGCGTCACCATAGCAGCCCACAAGGGAGGTGTCATCCACACTGTACAGAAGAGGAAACCAAGGTTCACAGAGAAGTGGCTTGCAACCCTAGGCCAATTTCAGCCTCTCCCACAACCCTGCAGTCATTCCTCTTGGTGATGCCAGTGTACCTGGCCAGTTCCAGTCCTCCAGAAAGCCTGCCATGACCAGTCCACCTCAACAGAGTTAGGTCCATGGGCCCCCATTAGACAGTATGGCTCAGGGTCCTCACTACCTCCTTGGCCCTCATCTTCTTCCTCTAGTCTCCTCCCAAGTATGGTTCAGGAACACTGCCTCCTCTTCCGGGATCCCCCAATTCACTGAGCAGGCTGCTCTTTAAAGACCTGGCCAGTTCTCCAGCTGTGGAGTCCCTCTTCTTTGGGGAGAATGGTTTCCTCTGCTCTCCTGGAAGCTGCTTGGGAGCCCCTCCTTGGTCTTTCTGGACCCAGCTCCACAACTGCCTCCTTGGTGCTGCCTGCAGAAACAACCCAGCAGGGGTGGGGCCTCCCTCCTGTGGTCTCTTGTGGTCATGGGACAGTCCTCCACTGCCTACTGCTCAGCTCCCCTTGCCTGGCCAACAGGGTCTGCTTCGCTCTCCTCCCTATACCAGCTGGAAGTGGTGAGGTTGGGACTTAGGTCAGGAGCAGCAAGGCCATCTGGGTTAAGGTGCAGGGACTTTGCTGCTCTCGTGTATCCATTAAATCAGCAGAGCAGTGAGGTAGACAGGAGTGGTCAGGCAGGCAAGGCCCAAATTCTGGTTCTAGCATTCAGAATGTGACTTCAGGCAAGTCACATAAACTATCTGAGACTTCCTTGCCCTGTCTTTTAGATGTTAATGATGCTCACCTCACAAGGTTCTGGTTTTAATGGAGGGCATAATTGGCCAGACTAATCCAGCACAGTCAGCCTTCAGTGTCTGACACTTCTTTAGCCCACTAGGCCTGACAACCACCCAGGCCAGCCATGGCCTGTGATAGGGACACTAAAATATTCTGCTTTTTGAGCAGCATGAGAAAAAAAAAAAAAAGCCTCTAGCCATTCCAGCTACAAAGGTTTTCAGCTCTTTCCTGAATTGAAAACTTTCTGCTGCACAATCTAGGAGTCCAAACCAAAGAGACAAGCTGGAGGTAGGGTGGGCATTGTCTGGGCAGGAAGGACCAGCTGGCAGGACACAGATGCAAAAGAAGAGGGTCATTTTGCTCACCCCATCCCCATTTACACCAACTCCCAGGAACAGATGGAGAGCTCATACTCCAATCTTGCAGGCACCCAACTGTCCTGGGACACACCACTCCTTCCCACTTCTCCGCCATAAGAATATTCAGCATCTTTGGCATCTTTCCTTGAAACTTGGTTGAGAAATTCCCAAACATCAGCCCAGCCTCTTTATCTCTATAACCTAGATTCGCTGGGGGCCCAACTGCAGGCTGAGACCCTCTCAGGTGTGAGGAAGCAGCAGCCTCAGCCCCAGCAACGGAGTAGATGTAGAGAATGGCCAGAATGTCATGTCTCCCCAGGTTGGGCTTGAGTGGGGCCCTGGGGCCTGTCAGAACACCACATTGCTTCTCCAACTTCACCCTTCCCTGTGACATATTGACCCAGTCACTGCTTGGACCTGGGTTTCCGATTCCCCACTCAGGCCCTCTAGTCCTCAGTGGGGCAGAATTGCCTGGGTACCCAGTGATCCACTGCTCTTGACCCTCTGTCCACCAAGGACCTGGCTCCCCTTCCCTTGGCTGCAATGGATGGACCAACCACTCCCCGTACTGGCTTGCCTGCCCACTGCTGTATTCTATCCATCAGGCTTTTCAGTCAGTGATCTCCCCACCTAGGAAGTGCTAAGTGTCCCTTTGGACCCTGCCATTCTTGATCAGTTTCATTAGTCCCTCTCCCCTTCACCTCCACATTGAGACCCACAGTCAACACCCCTAGCAACCTCCGCTGTGTGCCATCTGGAAGAAAACAGGATAAAGGTGACTTGGTCCATAAAGAGACCCAGATGGCCACTATGAGGCTTGGCCCCACCCCCACCTGGCTTATGCCACCTCAGATAGCCACCCTTACCTTCTCCAGCTGATGGACACCCTCTTCCACACAGCAGATGGAGGCCAGTGTGCGGAGCGCCTGCGGGTACAAGCACCGGAAATTGTCCTGTCGGCAGACCTTGAAGAGTGCTACAACCCCACCCTCCTGCCAAGAAAAAAGAAAATGTCACATGACACATCACCATGGACCTTCCCTGGTACTGACTCAAGAATAACTGGAATCCCTCACTCAGTTGATCAGCTTTGGGGTCACCCCCCACCACCACCACACATACACATAAGCACAGAGAAATGCGGACTCCTAATGGTCCAAGTTGGAGGTGAGATCACCCTGATGCTTCTGGGATTTGGGGGCCAGAGACCCAGAAGAACATTTTACTGGGGCCAGGATTGACATCATTCAACATAGGTCCCAGACGCCTGGCCACACCCTCTCAGCAGCCTCCAGTGGAGCAGGCCTGGAATCATCAAAAACATGTCCTAGAAACAGACCAGAGGCAGGTGGAGGGAACGGAAGACTAGAAGTCTAGTGCTAGTTCTCACTCTGCCAGCAATCCCCAGGCTCCTCCTCAACAACTCTGACTGCTCTGGCAGGCAGGCAAGATGAAGTTTATTTATACCTTTATACCATACCATAATTTATTCCCACTCTGTGATGGGGAAAAAAAATCCTGAAGTGCACATGGGTAAGATAATCCACCCTACATCCACACCACACTGCTAGGCAGGAATCTGGGAGAGGGAGTGCCTCCTCCAGGTGCCCTGCAACTGGTCATGTTTATTCTATACTAACCACTGAAGCCCACCTTGGCCTGGTATAACAGATCACACGGGGGACTCGCAATACCCAGCAAACCAAAGGCAAGCCCACCTTGTGCCTCCAGAGCACATGAGGCTGGATTCCCTGCCTCTGGCTTTGATTCCTTCCCTCCCTCTCCCTCTTCCCTGGGGGCTGGAAGGGTGCCTGGAGGTGGCAGCACTAACACAGCATCAACCACTCCCCTGAAGCCTTGGGACGCTGGCCCTTAACCTCATCACTCCCAAGTCTAAGCCCTTTGCAGCTGCTCCCAAAACTGAACAAAATGTCACAGAAAGAAGGTAAGTTCACCAAAATACCATCTCCCATCAGAATTTTAAGAACTCTGACCACCAAAAATTATAGTGAGCACCTACTATGTGCCAAGCTCTATCCTGTGCTGACCGAGGGTGCAGCAGCGAATGATTGGAAGGACAGCAAACTAACCACTGGCAGAGGAAGCCGTGACCACTGCAGCCCAGTACAGCTGCACCAAGACAACCCAGGCCCAGACCCTTTTCTCCCTCCACTCCAAAAACATAGGCTTATGCGCTCTTTTGGCTCTAAGAGTTCTGCTGCTGATCACGGCAGGGGTTAGGGTAAACACACCTAACTATGGAGAAGTGGATAACTTCTGACATTTTATAATCAACTAAGATTGACCACAAACTTTTATAACTCTACTTCCCTCTGGGGCTGTTGGATTGGTGGGAAAGGGGCCTGCCTTACTGCTGGTAAATTTATTCATATATTTGAAAACACAAAGACATTGTATTTTCAGTGTCAGACACTGTGCTGAGCCCTGAGCAGGACTGCCTCAGGCCCTGTCCATCCTGAACTCATAGTCCGGCAGGGATGGCAGGAAATTCTAAAAGCAGATTCAAAGCTGGGTAAAGGTACAACGAAAGAGGGTGGGGGCGCAGGGTTAAGAGCATGCAGAGCAGGAGGCTCTCACTACCTGGGAGGAGTTTGTAGAAGGGGTAAGAGAAAACCATTCCGATTTTATATGCACATCACTTCCATAATAAAAATTTGTCTAGCATGAGACAAGAAGCCTATGCCTCCAATTCCTTGTCCTATAATCCTTTAACCTTACCTTCACACTTGCTCACAGGACATCTGATAAGGGTTCTCTATAAAGACCTTACTCAGAATCAAGGAACAATCAAGTTACCCTTTAAAGTGAGAAGAAAAGAAACAGGACTCCTAAGCTCTCCTTAGCCAGCCCTGCTGGCCACTAAAAGCCTCCCTCCAGATTAAATATATGCTCATACATATGGAGATATGTTTATTTATGTATTTATGTTTGATCATCTCAGTTAAACAAATATCATTTCAATAAATAGATGACAGATGTTGCCATCTGGAGCAGACAATGAAGAAACGATGCCAAAGAGCAGGAGGAAGAATGCCAGGATAGATGTGGCAGCCCCCATTTGGCTCAGGAAGCATTGAAACCAGCACAGGTCTGCCTGCTCCCCTGCACACATTTGCACTGGATCCTCATTACATTCTTTCCCAAAGCCTGTGACAAAGGTCCTTATTTGTGTTTTTAGCTACTGGGAGAGGAAAGAGAAAATTTTGGATCCAGTCTAAGGAGATTCTGGTCCAAATCCTGGCTCTGCTGCTGCTTAGCACTGACTAAAAATGAGTCATAACAGCTACATGACTAAGCAATAGGGGTAGCAGTGAAGCCACTGTGTGCAGAAGGGCCTGGCCCCATGTTTTAGACCGAGGTAGGAGGGTCAGGTTAGACAGAAGGCTTCCTGGCTAGATGGTTGCCTCATGGCCTCATGGAAGATGTATCAAGAGTTGGGACACGTGGAAGGCCAGGGGAGGAAGGGGCCACAGGAGCTGAGGTGAATTATCTCATGGACCACACTGACCACACTGGAGCCCCCATTCAGAATAGGAGCATGGCACTCACCCAGGAGCAAGACTGGGAATTGCCTGAGCTAACAGAACACACTGTTGGCTGGAGCTTGTTTAATTTTATAGAAAGCTCTGGGCTCCGAGCCGAGCTCTATAACAGAATGAATTATTCAGACAAGCTTGGGATGAGCTGTCCTAAAGCTGGCAGAGGCCACTTATGGGGTGTGGAGGCTGGTGGTAGCAGGAATAAGAGAAGAGCTGGGGATAATTTTAATGAAGCACAGGGGAGTTTTCATGCTCAGCTCTGGGGAAGGGATGGAGTTGGCCACCATTATCTCAGGGAAGCTTGGGCATCGTCCTTGGTCTTCAGAGTATCCAGAGATTGAGAGGACAGATTTCAGATGGGCTGCCCAAGTTCCCTCCTGAAGGCAGCTTAAGTAGATTAATGACCCAAAAAGAGACTACAGCAGACCCCAAAAGAGGAAGGTCACTGGGAGAAACTGCTCACATGTGTCACAAAGTTGGTCACATTTACTGAGCATCTGAGGGGAGAGCGCTAGGCAGGTGTGCCAGGGACTCCCAGTTCCTGCCTCACTGTCAGGACTAGACACCCTCACCCAGTGACTCTGCTGGAGGAACTAGTCTCAGCATCTTTTAGGCTAGAAATAAAGTAGGTATCATGCACCTTCTCTCTGCTCTTAACCCTTTGTCTATGGGATCCCAAAGACCAGAGACACAAGAAGGTCGAGATAATGATTTGGAGTGAGCATACGCAGTTAAAATCCCATCTCTGCATTAATGTGTGTGACCTAAGTTATTTACATTTTTTTAACCCCTGAATATCTGTTTCCTTGCCTTAAAGATGGGAAATAAATTCTAACACATCAAAAGATTGTTGGAGTATCAGATGAGATAATAAGTGGGTTGAGTAAGTAGTGAAGGACATGGGAGGTCTGTGGGAAGAGGACAAACGGATAAAAGAGTGAGAGGGAAGGAAAGGAGGAGGGAAAAGTGGAGGACCTGCTGCTGAGTGGGATTCGGAACACAACCAAGAGCACAGCCTATAATGCTAAACAGCCGGGTTCCAATTCTGTCACTTACCAACCAAATGGCCTTCTCATTGTCTCAGCTCCCCCACCTGTACCATGGGGTGGATGCTGTCTACCACAAAGGATGAGCAGGAGGTTTATTTTTTATTATTTAAAAAAAATACATGAGAGCAAAATGCATTACAATTCTTATTACACATATACAGCACAATTTTTCATATCTCTGGTCATGTATAAAGTGTTTTTGACACCAATTCGTGTCTTTATACATGTACTTTGAATAATGATGTCCATCACATTCCACCATCCTTGCTAATCCTCTGCCCCCTCCTTTTCCCTCCCACCCCTCTGCCCTACCTAGAGTTCATCAATTCCTCCCATTCTCTCCCTCCCTGCCCCACTATGAATCAGCCTCCTTATATCAGAGGAAAAATTCAGCATTTATTTTTTTGGGGAATGGCTAACTTCACTTAGCAGTATCTTCTCCAACACCATCCATTTATCTGCAAATGCCATGATTTTATTCTCTTTTATTGCTGAGTAAAATTCTATTGTGTATATATGCCACACTTTTTTTATCTGTTCATCCACAGAAGGGCATCTAGGTTGGCTCCACAGTTTAGCTCTTGTGAATTGTGCTAGCAGGAGGTTTAAATAAGTTATTTTGTATAAAGCACTTAGAACATCACAGTAAGTGCTGTTTATAGAGCACTTTTTTTAAAAGCACACTTTAATGGGTTTTTTTTTTTTCTCTACTACCATAGCTGTCATCACCACCATCATCATCACGGCTGACCATCTACAGCCATAGAAATCTCAGTTCTCTTACTCCTCTTCCCGATTCCTGTCTTCACTGTCATCAGCTTTGCACCTGGAGTGGGTCAGCCGATCTTGGATTTCTGCACCAGGAGCAGAGAAAGAAGAGCTACTGATTCAGACAGACTGATCTGTTGTAGCAAAGGCTTCACCTGGAAAGGGAAGGACTCCAGATTTTAGCCAATTAAGCTGGTGGGGGAAAAAAAAAGCATTGACTCCAGAGCTGGACAAATCTGGTTTCAAATGTCAGCTGGACAAGGTATTCAACTACTGAGAGTCCTGGAGTCCTCATCTGTACGTCAGGGCCACCATACCATCTCAGAGGGGTAACTGTGCAGAAAGTGCCAGTACGGAACCTGGCACATAGGAAGCAACCAACATATAGGAATTCTGATTGTTATTCTGGTTAATGCTCAATAAGATTCGTGTATTCTCTTGGGTAGGCTCCAGTGAGGTGTGGCCCACATAACAATCAAAGGATCACTATGAATCTTTAAAACTACTGGTTATGGCTCATGAGAGTTCAGGGATGGTGTTGAGAACACGGGGGATATTTGAGTAGCTAAGGAGTGGGTGGAATAGGTAAGGAGCCTCTAGACAGAAATAGAGGAGTGATGACTAAATGTGGAAAACAGTTCACCAAAGCCTTCTGTTTAAAAATGGATTAGGGTAAAATTAAAATTGCTTCATTACTTTGGTAATGAAATACCAGGGAAGTCGGAGAGCATGGCAGATTCAGGAGGTCTCAAAGTATCAAAGAGTTCAGCCTCTTCAGGTTGACATTGCCAACCTCCTCCAGTGAGCTAATGGTAGAACTGGGAGAAGAGGAGACTCTGGTCCCTACCCAGACCTTTCTCCCCTGCTTTCTACCACTGGGAATTTTTGGAATCAGTCTTTAGCCAGAGGAGAGTCCTGGTCCTCAGAGGAGACTAGGCTTAGGCACAAATGCATGTCCTCTCTCTGCTTTCCTGAAAGAGGAACACAAATGAAGGCAGGCAGTAGGAGCCCTCAATGTCAACCAGCAGGTGGAGTATCCAGGCCCTGGAGCAGAACACCCAGAGCTTCAGAGCCTATGCCAAGTAGAGTCTCCTTCCCAGGAAATTCTAAGTCCTCTTCTCAAAACAAAACACCTCCGGCCCCATTCTGCCATTGAGAATAAGTCTCACCCCTTCTAGGCTTCAGCTCCACTCCTGCAACCCAAACTCAGCTGCCATTTGTCATTCATTTGGAATAATGGAAAATGATTGTTCCAAAAGAAGTTCAGCTCACTTCTATTTGAACCTAATCATCAGAGATCGGTTGCAACGGCTCTCTGGTCCCCCACAGCACCACAACAGATCTCTGAAGACTGAACCCTCTCAACCAAGATGAATGGTGGAAAAACAGGATATTTGAAGGTGGAAGGGCCAATGCTACCTTCTCCAATCCCCTTTGCCCCAGACCCCAATACCACCATAAGCTTTGTGGGTCACATCTTAACTAAATACCTCCCAAAGAGAGTAGCGACCTCAACCCAAGAGGCAGGGAACCTGGAAAGCTAAATATCTGCCCCGGGCCTTACTCCAGACAAATCAATTCAGAAATTATTTAAAGCTCCCTCATGATTCTAGTGGGCATCTGGGGTTGAGACTTTTGGCCCTAAAATTGGAAGAGCCAAAGACTGAACCACGAGTCACCACTATGGGCTTTGGACCATGAATTTTGAACTAAAGACACCTGGTTTATAATTCTGACTCCACTCTTTTGTGGTGCTGGGGATTGGACCCAGGGTCTTGTGCATGCGAGGGAAGCACTCTATCAACTGAGCTATTTCCCCAGCCCCCTGACTCTACTCTTTATCAGCTGTGTGACCCTGGACAAGTCCCTCAGATCATGATCTCAATTATAGATGGGAACATATGGAAACTGTCCACTTCACAGGATGGTTTTGTTTCCAAAGAAATAAGGTTTACAAGCCATTAAGTAGAGTGCACAGCAACACTCAAATGTTAGCTACTGCTATTATGTATAATTCACTTCTCTGCTGACCAGCATTGGCAAGTGTTTACCCTGGTTATTCTAAGTGTCTTTAAAGGCTGAGAGCAGTGAATCTGAGTATCTGATCATGCTTCAGAATCACCTGCAATGCTTGAAAATGTAGATTCCCAAGTCTTAGCCCAGGTTCTCAGTAAATCTTGGGCGGAGGGAGAGTAAAAGTATTTGTGTTTTCCACAAATGCTCTAAAGGATTGTGATGCCTCGGAATCATCCAAATAGAGCATCTTCCTGGGACTGGTGTCATAAGTCTATTGAAAGACACAACTTGATTCCAATTAGATCCCTCATTCTATATCCATTGGTGATATTATTTCACAAGTGAAAAAGAAGAACAAACAGACCTTACTTTGATCCTAGAGCTATCAAATTGCCTACATTGGGCTCTAAGGTTTTAGAGGCCATAATCAAGAGCAAATTAACCACAAAGTCAATTAATTAGGGCCCCTATTGTAATCTATGAAGCCAGTGTCCTTTTTTATTTCATCTTTCCCTCATGTAATACTGAAGTAGCTGTAAGGCATTTTGGGGAATCCAGCAAGGAGCTGAGTAAAGGGATTTTGGGGATGGGACCCTTGAGAACACATGCCTCTGAATTTGAGGTGAAGGTCATGTTTATAGATATGTTCCCCTCCTATTTCTCCCAATAACACTACTAATAATTATTATGGGGTACAGGTTGTTATGATAACAAGATTAAGAGATGTAAATAGGGCTTAACTCTATAGACAACAATATAAAAAACTTTCCTTTGAACTAGTTTGAGATACTACATTTCTTATATCCATGATGCCAGGAAGCCACATAAAGCCAATCTATCTTCTAAAATGCTACATGCCAGATGGTCTTTGTATTAGTACATCACCATGTAGACACCAGGGACACCACAGTTTCAAGAAGGAAAATCAATGAGTGGAGATAGGGAAAGAAGTTGACCCTGCACAAATAAAATAATGGAGGTTCTGGGGATACCATTTTTTTTTTTTGTCTCAAGTTGAAAATGAAATCACAGGGACTATCCACCTATTAAAGTGAAACACCAAGGGCCAGTTAGGAGAGGCAACTCTCCCAAGGTCACATAGCAAACTAATTCCCAACCAAGATGGACCTCTTGAGCCAGTTGTTTCCACCCATTCACTGAACAAGGGAGCTTCCTCTCACTTTCCCGAGGCTTGCCATTCTGGTCCCTGACTACAAAGTTCACCTTGGCTATGATGCGGCACAAAGGAGCCCCCTCCTGGGTCAGGCTGAACAGGTTGCCTGTGGTAGACTCTGTGGTGTAGATATTGTCCGAGGCATCAATTTTTCTCACCAATGCCTAGGAAGAGAGAGAGAAGTAAGCTGGTTACTCACACCCATGTGCCTTCCCCTCATCTTCCTTAATGGATTACCAGTGGCCCATGCTCCCAATAGCCATTTTGGAACCTATAATCCTGCCCCATCCACTACCGCACTCCGGGGTCACCAAGGATATGATTTGGGGAAAGACATGGGTGAGGGTGACAGCTGAGCTCTATATCAGAGATATGAATCACTTCAAAGTCTTGGGAATGAGCAACAAATTTACCCCATCAGAAAATCAGCTCTCAATATCGATAAGCTCAGCAAATACCATTTTGTTGTGCTACTGGCTTCCGGTGAAAACAGAAACCATCGGTTAAGTAAACAAGTTGAAAACCAATGAGTTACTACAATTATGGTCAAAGAATTTGCCCATTTTGGATGGCTATTAGCCAATGGTGAACTCCAGCTGGGTGATAATTTCAATGGTTAACGCAAGAGAAGCACTCGACAGAGATTACTGCTTGGGAAACATTTTCACTGGGTGTATAAAGTAGCCAAAAAAGCTACACTGGGAATTCTGTCACCAGGTGAGTAATTCAGTAAGGTCATATTGTCCAAGGTCAAAGGATTCTAGGCTACTGGTTGAAAGAGATTAGAAATGACCAAATACAGGAGGCCCAAGAAAGAAAGCAAATGAAAGAGTCATTAGTAAATAACATATGAAGATTTATTCCTAGAAGAGTTTAGGTAATTTCTGGGAAAAAAGCTCTTTATGAATCTTGAAATCACTTCATAATCAACCATTAGCTTTGGTGCATGTGACTCATTGATTATAAATGAATTCTACCTGCTAATTAATGCCAGTTGCTCAAGTTTCTCCTGGGAGGGATGGAGATAGAGATATTAGGGAGAGCTGCCTGAAAGAGCCTCAAACAAAAATGTAAAACCTGCAGAGCTGGGCGCTCAGTGCAGCCTCTTGTGTGGTTTCAGTTGCCATGTTTATTTAAAAATATTAAAATGGGATTGTTGGGGCTGGGATTGTGGCTCAGCAGTGGAGCGCATACCTAGCACATGCAGGGCTCTGGGTTCCTTCTTCAGCACCACAAATAAATAAATAAATAAATAAAGGTATGGTGTCCAACTATGACTAAAAAAAAATATTTTAAAAAGGGGATTGTTTTTAAATAACCCTGGTGTTACAAAAATGAAATAAAAGGAAACTAGGAGATCTGAGTTCCATCTCCTGCTTGCCTTTAACTTATTATGTTGATGCTGTGAGCATATGCGTAAAAAGCATGAACTCTGGGAGCCAAACTGGATTCCAGTCCTGGGTTTGCCACGCTGGTCTATGTGCCCTAGAGAAAGTAATTTAGTTTAGACTTTCTCTGCCTTGATTTCTTCAACTGTAAAATGTTGGAAATAACATCTATCTCTTAAGGTGATTATGACAAACTTAAGATTGTCAATATATAGTAAGGAGTTGTCAGACACATGGAAGCAAAATAAAATTGTTAACAGCCATTACTTTGTGATCTTGGGCCTTTGAGATAAACTCACTAGACTTTGGTTTCCCCACTGGTAAACGATGAAAATAAGAGGGTTTGAGGCTTAAGGTAAATGGCTATCCAGCTCTCCCTTTTCCTCTTTTATTCAAACTCAAGCATATTTCTCTCTCTCTCTCTCTCTCTCTCTCTCTCTCTCTCTCTCTCTCTCTCACACACACACACACACACACACACACACACACACACACCCTACTAATCCTCTACAGAGTGCAGCCTAAGATTAAGGGTGTATTTAATAAAACTACATTAAATATAAAAATTATTCTCAAAGATATGATGGATGCCTCTTGTAAGAGATTCAACAAAAGGTAAGTAGCCTTAATAACTAAGATTTGTCACTAAAAATCTCTGTAATGAACATACTTCTTAGAATCCTTCCCTATTGTTACCGTAAGCAGCTACACATTTGATACCAATGCTCATATGAAAATGCAGATTTCATGTATTGGGGTCCTGTACCTAAATGATAATTACCTAATGTTCCTGATTAGTGTTTGCACTTGAAGCAAATTAGCATTACATTAAACAATTCAAACCCAATGTCTTTTTCAATCAGCTGCTAATATTAGACCATTTATGTATGAGAATAATTTCATGTTAATGTCTATACACATATATACAGTAATTACACTCTAGATATATCTTAGTGAATCAAATCTCTCTCTCTCTCTCTCTCTCTCTCTCTCTCTCTCACACACACACACACACACACACACACACACACACAAAGTTGTAAGCATCTTTTCCACAGTATACATTTGGAAAGATATGAGATCAGACTCCACTGAAATCTTCAAAGTCCTAAATATCACATGTTGGAGTTGGAAGGGCTTCAGATGACTTTTGTCCAACCCTCATTTCACAGTTGAGAAAACTGAGACACAGAAACCTGACCAATATCTGACATGTGGTCTGAGGGGGTGGGGCTGGATGCGGGGGACTGAACCACGTCCTTTGTGAATCTGACTTCCTATTTCCATCTCTAATGTGGGCAGGACCTCACTGAAACTAATGAAACTGGAAGCCTGAGGCAAGGATACATGGGCCATATTAGCCACTCCCACCAATAGGAGAGTGGTTCTCCAACCCAGCTTCCTGTTCACATGGCACATGTATGGTCACCAGAGTTCCCGAAACAGGAAGCAGAGCTGTTGGGACCTCCAGTTGCTGCCCCCTGGAATTCCACCATGTTCTTGCAGAGACAACGCTTCCCTTGAGCTACCCCTAGCTGAGACTGAGGACAACAAGACTGGTGCAGGAGGCTCCTCGGTCGTGACTCAGGCTTGGTTCCCTAAGTATCTCTTCCTATGCAATCTTTCCTCCTTTTCCTTCTCAGATGTCAAAACTGGAACACGGTTTTCCACACCTTCGTCTACTTCATTATTCCCTTTTTTCCTTCACAGAAATTGCCTCGCCAATCTAATCTTGGTGTCTGCTTCATACTAACACAGTTGTAAAAATCAACGTTTTTGTTTGTTATTTGTTTCAGAAAATCAGGGAGAAATTATAGAAATTCAAAGAATATGCTTTCCTCCATATCATGAGAATAGCATCAAAATGACAAAAGCAACGTAAAGGAAGATAGACTTAATAGGCTGGGTGACAAATATTTTCTTAAAAGACCAGTCAGATGTGAAACAAGAAATAACAAACAATGAACTCCTTAAGAGCAGGAGAAAGGGAAGAGGGAGATGAAGGAGATGTGTGCAGCCTAACTGCTCTAACTGAGGAATTAGAAAAATGCAGATTTCATATATTGGGGTCCTGTAATTGCTTCTCATTCAGAGTGATAGCAACTCAGTGAAATCGATCATAGGGAGATCAAACTCTCAAAGAGCAGGCTGGAATGATTTCTCAGACAGAGCCAGGAAATTATTGTGAAGCCTCTTCCTGAAGTTTTAGGTAAAGGGTTCATAGATAGACATAGTAGAACAGCCCATTTATGCAAAGTGACATAAAATGTAGGCAGATTCGACAGGGTGTGGTAGATTAAAGATGGCTACCAATTCTTTCTACTCCTCCCACAGAGAGAAGAGTTCTAATTCCCTTGTATCTGGGTTGACCTTTGTGCCTTGACTGGCCAACAGAATCCAGCATCAACTGAAGTAATGTCTTTGGAGTCCCAAGGCTAGGTAACAAGAGGTCTTAGAGCTTCCACAAGGCTTCTTGGAATATTCTTTTAGGAGCCCTGAGCTGCCATGTAGAAAGTTTGATAACTGAGACTGTTATGACTGGTATGCTGGAAAAGCCACAGGTAGGATCCCCACCAATGCTCTCAGCTGAGACCAGCCTTCCAGCCAACCTCTCCTAAACACCAGACATGTGAGTGAGGCTGCACAGGGCTCACCAGGCCATCTTCCAGCTGATCACAGGCTTTGCTGATGCTATGTGGAATGCAAGAATCATTCAGCCCATCCCTGCCAAAATGCCCGAAATCATGATATGTAATAAAAAAGGGTTGTCATTGTGTGTTTTATGCTTTAATAGTTATAAAACATAGGAAAATACTACAAATCCATCATGAACTCTTTAAAAGACTACCTGATAGGTCTCTGGTGAAAGTTTTGGAAATAAGGAAGAAGCATTGCCTCTGTTCTCATGAACATGCTAGAGAAATGTAGTAATTGGGACTTTGCGGGAAGGCACAGAAAGACTGCATATACTAAAGAGAAGCTAGGCAAAATAATAATTGAACCTAAGCCCTGATTACCTCTTGGTCAGACGGTAAAATACCTATTGGATGGGAACATCCCATTTAGGAAGGTAAGTGTGGATAAGATCTCTTAGAACAGGAGGCTTTTGGAAGACCCAGAACTTAACTGATTTTATGTCTTTCAAGAGAAATCTCCAAATCTTGAAGAGTTTGTTAGAAAAACCAAAGAATGTATCAGACATCAAAGGGAATTAAACAGGGAAAGTTGCTCAGATACACAAATCCACTCTGAGTTAGAAAGAGACCTACGTGAGCAGGAAAGTAATTGTTAGAAATTCAATTGATTCTCCCTGTAAACATCAGGGTATTCACAGAGGGAAAGGGAACACTGGAGGCACAGTTCATTATTGAAAAACAAAACGTTGTAGCAGAAAGAAATATTATCTGAGGCTGGGATGTTCAGAAAATGTGGGAGGATGGTGTTCTGAGAACTGCTGGCCCTAACTGGTCCTCACTGAAGCCAACAGGGGCCAGACTTTAGGAACTTTAGTGGTGACCTCAGTTCAGGTATCTGCTGAGGATGATTCTTCAAATGTAAAAAGTGTGGAAAGCAGAAGGAGACCTTCCCTGTAAGACACAGATTTTAAGACCTAAGCAATTCTCCAGTGAGAGGCAGGGGCAATAGCCATCCTGAGTGCTGGGTATATCTGATGCCAAAAGAATATTTTCCCACCTATTCCTAAAAGAATTTTAGGGATTTAAAATTTATATGTGCCCTTGCATATTTTAATTTGACAGCTATAATTCTTCAGCATT